AGAGAGAAGGTGAGAGGATGGGGAAGGAGGTGGGGAGAGGGAAAAAAAAAAGGGAGGACACGTGCATGTAAAGGAGGCTCGTAAAGCATTGCGTATATGCAGGAGGAAGCCCAGGCCCTCGGGCAATCACTGGGATTGGCTTCGTGGTACAGCTGGGCTTGGAGGAGGGGGGGGGGGAGATGAATAATAAATGCAACTCACGAAAGTACTAGAGAGAGAGTCAGTGGCGCCAGCCGGTCAAACCCTCCGGCTAACCTTCTACGTATACTCGGGGCTGGGCCCCCCCTACACACACAATACGCGTCTTCTCATCTCTTCCCCCATCTCGATGAAGGAACAACTGCTTTCCTTGCTTATGGGACTTCTGTACATTTCTGTTTTCGGAGGTCTACTTAAAACAAATTGCTATTTTAAAATAAAATTTATTCTAGATATCTCTTCCATAAACTTTTTGCCCGCGAAGGAGTTTCGGCATGCTTTTTTTGCTCCGGGATGCCAATCAATCCTCGCGGTATGCATCTACACATCCATATCTTCATCCCCCATCAATGTTGATGCGCAGGAAACGCGGTCGACCCCCGTCTGGTTAATAATTATTGAGTTAGATCACGCGATTCTTCCGTATCGTGTTGGTGGGGTGGGGTTACCATGGGATGCGTGCGTCCCACTCACGTCCGTGGTCCATGTTTCTCCTTCCTATGCGGGATGTTGCCACTTTGATGACATGACATGAGACAAGAGGCTCCTCTTCATCGAAATCCTCTTGTGCAACTGCACAGGTGATACATCACGCAAGGCCCACTTTACTTTATCGACCTCGTTAGGCCACGCCCCCTGTAGGGTTTTTCCTCGGGTCATCGTGACCTGGGTTCAGAAGCCTCTTTGCATCCGACCTTGTCTTTGTCTCTTTACTCGGTTTTCCGTCTGTGCTCATTCCTCCCCTTTCGCTTTTCGTTCATTTCTTTCCTTTTCTGCCGTCAATTCGTCTTCAATCGCGTGCTGTGGCTTTGCTCAAATTCCCACAAGCCTCTGTTATCTGAAGCGGCGGAAGACCTATCATTACAACGAGTAATTGAATCCTAGGGACGTGGATTTTCTCTTCTCGTTTGTTGCAAAATCGGGAATCGTGCTTCTCATCTCTTACAATACAGACAGACTGGCGGCTAATAGGTCTCCAAGGGAATAATTTTTCATTTATTATACTATGTGGAGCATGGAAGAGTAGAGAGGGACTAAAGATCTCGTGTGCCACAGTCTCCTCTCCCTCGAGGATCTCATCACGGGAAGATTGTATCCCGAGGGCTTCGTATGTACAGTATATCACAGACAGACAGACCTTGCGCAGAGAGAGGAAAAATATAAAAGAGAAGAAAAAAAAATGGAATACGGATTATTAAGCAGTTGGGCGTCTCTAGCCTCGTGGATGTCCCCGACCTGTGCCATGAGTTTGTGCTCTCCTCCTCCACTAATGCCCATGTGAGTTCCTTCCAGTGTATGCATCCTTCTATGAGAGAGGCACGAAGAGCGAGGGGAGGAAAAATCTTGGTATTGGTTTTCATGTCACGTAGTAGACGGTGATCGTGGTCACCTGGCAGCCCTAACAGCATGATAATCCCCTTTTGAAGGGATGAAGGGAGAGAGAGAGAGAGAGAGAAAAAAAAAAGTCACCTGATATCCCCAGGACTGTCATTGACTCATCGAAGACATGCCCCACTTGTGACATTGAAGGGATTTCCTCTTTCTCATCATATTTTGTACCATTTCACGACCTTGGGGCGTCTTTTTCTGTCACACTCACTGTCTTTCATGGATCTCAACCCCGCCTGGAATTTCTGACATTGAAACGCTCGAGCGGAAGATGAATTCGACACGGAAGACCGAGCCAACTTGGGTTTGAGGCGTTTAGTTCTTAGGATTGAACCGGAATTGATTCGGTTGGAAGTGTCATGTCATGGGAGTGAAGTCTCATGGAACTCATCATGATGATTAGGAGGAGTAAAGCGGAACAAAATTCCCCCTCCCCTCCCTTTCCCTGGTCGGTCACATCACATCCCCCTTTGTGTTGTTTTTCCTAAGAAAGGGATTGAACTCACTCCTTGAGTCCCTCTGTGAGTTAAGAAGTAATTACTATACTCGCCGCTGGGCTTCCCATTAGTGTGTTCCTTGAGGCGCAAATTCAAGGGGACCTGCCCCCCATTTTTTGTACGTATGTGTGTTTCATGGGAAGTACGGAAAAACGTTCCATGCTACTCTCGCTCTTCACATCACCACGTGCGGAAACTGAATATAAACGTGTCGGGTATCGATGGAGAGAGTGGGAGAAGGAACGGGAATGAGATGTTCATGACACGGAGTATTATGAGATCACGATCTCCTCCATCAGGAAGCCATGTCTGAGAATACACGACTGACCCTCTAGTCTAAGAATTGAAGGCAGCCGTTTCAGACAGGGAAATCCCCAATTCGATCCGATCGGAAAGAGAGTTCGACGCGGAGTTATTCCTCCGAGCTTTCACGAATGTAAAACGTTTCATGCTTCCTAGAAATTTTCCCGATCGAGATTCTCCACGTCCGTCTCATGCCTGCACGCACCGATTGACTCGCAGAACATGAAGAACGGGGGAGGAAGGAGAGAAATGATGCCGACGTCATCCTCTTCCTGTCTCCCTCAGTTCTGCGTTTTTGTCATCATTTGAGCGTCTCTCATCGTTGTGTTCTTCTCTCACAGCATCCTCATGTCCTGCTTTCCGTAGGTTAACCCTTTCAGTACCGTACGTGCTCTTTTCTTGGACGAGGTGAAGGAATTATCATAATCACGGGGAGAGGTCGTTAACTTGTCATGGAAGGCTGACGAAAGTTTTTCTTCCTTCCCATTGTGATGGTAAAGAGTTGTCTACCGACATCTCTAATTACGGCTCCGCCGCGCCTCTCTTTCGTTCTTTACTCTATGGTGTACGAACGAGTAATGTATAGATGGATGTACGTATATAGAGATGAGGTCATCTGGCAAGGGTGAGCCATGATTCTGCTTCACACGTAGATCCCATTTCTTGATAAACCGGAACTCCGGACACGCTCGTATCTATTGTCTAACACATTTTTACATTCCGCACGCACGTGACTTTTGTAACCGAGTGAATTCGAGAGTTAGTGGGCCAGTAGTAGACCTTAGCTAAGGCAGCACCGAGAGTTCACGATGTTTTCGCTGGATATATGTAGGTATTTTTATTTATCGTCTGCTTCTCCTTTTCTCTCTTCCACACGCCATTTATTCGCAGAAGCAGCTGTACGTTAGCTCCTCTGATATTTTTAGATCCCCCCTTTCCCTTCTTTTTTTTTTTCGAGACCTCGATGGTGTCATGTCAACCTGCCAGGTCCTTCGAATAAGAAATCCATCTTCTATTTCTCGCAACGCAATGACTCTGACTCGCAGACGGCGTTTTATCCATATTATACCGACTCACCGCAGCCATTGAACTCTTCTCTTTTCTCTCTCTGAATCGGAGAATCTTACGTAGGAGAAGGCGAGAATAATCCCGCATGAGATTCTCACCACTTCGCCTACAGAATGTAGGAAAAGGCTTGGGAGGCAAGGTCACGGTTAAATGCATGACTCCTTGAAGTGAATTGAAGCTCTCTGGGCTCCCCCCTCCAAAGATTTATGAAGGTTCCAACGGTTTTTTTCTTCTTTCTTCTTCTTCTTCTGGGCATGATACGTGGTCATTATCCGCCCGCGGGGAAGAAACGATTCATTGCATCACTCTCCCCCATTATTCCATAACCGCCGGCCACTGAGTGAGTGGAGTCCCAACTCTTTCTTCTCTCTTCTTTTTTTTTCATCTCCACAACGAAGGTTCTGAAGGAAAAAGAATCTGCTTTTGCTTTCCTTTTCCTGCAGTAGGGAGAAGTGATTCGTCAGCACAAAGAAAGATCCATCAGTGGATTAAATTAATAATCCCCCCGCCGACCTGATGGCTCTTAATTGCTCCTGATGGTCTCGAGGATCTTTGTTCTTTCTTTCCATTTCCTAATGGACGCGAGCTTTTTTTTTCTTCTTTCTTTCTTTCTTTCTGTCTCCGAGGAGTGTTTATGTTCATGTGATTGAGGTCGTCGGATGGCTGATGCCACAGTTAGCCCAGTCTCCAACCATGACCGTCCGTTAAAAACAAAAAACGAGGCCCAACCACCCAGGCGAAAGGCAAAAAGACCCAATTATAGCAGTTTTTATATGTCTCTCTAACCAGCCAGCCGTCACATTTTAGTTCCATCAGCTTCTTTCCATTCCCATATTTTGCTTCTTTCCCAATCTCTCCTTCCCTCTTCGCAAAGCGAATGCCCGAATCGTCTCCACCCTCACGAAGGTGGATTTAGAGTTCATCGACAGGTAGAGTATCAAAGAAAATAAAGGAAAAAAAGCATTGATGTAAGATGTCATGGTGAGTTTTAATAATTACTCTTCTCCCCTTACGCTGTTGGCACCAGGAATAGTCAGTGGGAAATCTGCCACTGATTGCCCTGCCAGAACGCCCTTCTGGCAACTCCGTCCGTCTACTGCGGGAGAGAGCGAGAGAGAGAGAGAGAGAGAGAGAAAGCAGGAGAGAAAAAAAAGACGGAGGGGGGGGGGGGGGAGAGAACGAAAAAGTTTGTAGCACGGAGCGGAAAGTGTCACCAAAGTTGGCGCACATTCAATGCCACCTATCTTCCTTCCGTCTTCTTACACTATTTTTTGCTCTCTTCCTCCTGTCTTGCCCCGAGTTCGTTCCCCCGGTCTCTTCTCGGAAATTGCGTCGACCATAAAAGTCATAAGACTCCTTTGTATCCCAATCCAAAGTTGACGCACTGGTTGATGATGTCATCATCGGCACCTTGGTTTCCAGGAATACACATTTTCTTTGTTATCGAGTCAAGGCAACTGGGTCGAGGCTAGCACTTTACTTTCTGGTGCCAGTAATAATACTCTGAATGCAAGGCTAATTTAAAGTTCTTTTGGTGTTTTTCAGGTACCTGGGTAACTACTCCAAAATTTCGTCGTCGTGGAACCCGGCACCGCCCGAGACGAACGGCGGTGCTTCTGACACGAAAAGTGTTGCCAGCGAACTCAGCGAGGTCAGTTCATTTTTTATTATCTCTCTGCCCCCCCCCCCCCCCCCCCCCCCCCCCAGGGGGGGGGGGGGGGTGGGGGGGGGGGGGGGGGGGGGAGATAATAATTGCTGTACGATTGAGGTTGAATTGTTTGCCATCCTTTTCCCCCCCACGATTCGCCAGTTCCTCTGACGCCCACTATTATGACTCGGTCCTCTTCAGAACCCGGATAGGGTGGTGTGAATGGATCATCGACGAAGCTTGTCGCCTTCTTGTTTCTAAAAACATATCTACCCATTCCAGGATGAGAAAGACCTTGGGGGTTCGGACGCGGAGGGCGTGTGGTCGCCGGATATCGAGCAGAGTTTCCAAGAAGCCCTCGCCATCTATCCTCCCTGTGGGAGAAGAAAAATCATTCTTTCTGACGAGGGAAAGATGTACGGTGAGTATCCTGTGAGAGCTTAGTACGGATGCCTCGCGCGTCCAGGTAACAGTGCAGTGCTCTTTGTTGAGTATGACGCTTTCCATTTGAGTCCGACAGGTTTTCAATCGATTTCGAAATTAAACAATGATGGTGGCGCGTAGAGAAGCACAGCCCATTTTGCGCGCAGAAGTCAAATTATAAAATGTCAAACTCCATTGAAAAATATTAAAGCATCACTAATTAGCGTGGATGCATTGCCGTCGACGTTCGAGTGCGGTGGGGTGTCAGTTGACGCGTTCGCAGGGGGGGGGACCTGACCTCGCTCTCTCTCCTCTGCCTCCTCAATATTCCCTTCTTGCTCCCTTCTCTTCACTGTTCTCCGGGGCCAAGAACGATGATGGGGAGACAGGGAGAGTTCTAGATTGTGATCCCGAAGCAGGAACCTCTCCAGCGGGGATTTTTTCTTTGCCATGCCGTTCATTTTTAAATTCGCTTGAGAGGAGATGGCAATACTTCCCCATCATGGATCCTCGTGGGGCAGCCTGCCATCGATACGCATACGCATACCCCTTAGAAAAGAAACCGAACGAAACGGAGGAGTCTTCTTGTGAGGTGTAATATTCCTTTCCAAGAAAAAGCGCTGCACGCACTCCTTGGGTTTGCTTGAGCTGTTACATACCCTTTTCGCTTGATTGCTCGTAATCCTAGTCCGCGTTGACAGAAAATTGCTTATCTTTGGAAAACTAGACATGAGTGGCTTTACACGAACATGCAATTATCGGTCAACGCGTCTTGGGATAAGGAGCAATTCAAGGAATAGGAATGACTGCATCGGTTGGAGAAAGCCCAGGGAGCGGGATTTATTTCTTGGAAAGGAACATTATCGTATCCCGTGTTTCGAATGCTTTTTATCTATTAACAAGAGCAATATGGGGATTTCCCCCGCACGATCTTGCCTAGGTGACAAGTCGTGGTTTTTTTTTTCCCGTTCCTCTTCAGACACGTATGCTGTATATATTCGCCGCGATTGCAGAATTGAGAAGGAAAACTTGACCACAGCTTTGACTCGTTCACTTTGGACGTTAATGTTCCCATTTTGTCGTGGACAGGTAATAAATTTCTTGCAGAACGGAGCCTACAGGTGAAGGAGTTCGAGTCGTTTTTGGTCAAGTAATTTGCATTTTCAAACTCAGCATCATTGTTCTCCTTGCAGTAGAGCGATCTTTGACCTTGTAAATGGAGAAAACCGTGTTGTAATAGGGCTTATTGTTTAAATCAGCTGATTGTTGATGAATTTTAATTGGAAATTATATCAAGCAATTAAAGTTAATCATGCTATGACAAATTCATGTTATTTAATTGCTTTTAACACTCCCAACTGTTAGGTACAGCATTCTTTATTATTTAATTTTTCGCTGGGAACATTTTCAGAGGTTGCACAAGTTCTCTTCACGCTATCGAATTAAGACCCAGAGATTTAATACCTCTAACGAGTGCAATGTCGAAACAGAATTTTGATTGACATTCATGCCGAACATTTTTACCCAACATTGTATTAATTCATGAAATTCTCTGGTATTGCTTGAAAATCCAAGGACCTCTCGTAATAAAAATTAACAAAGCCATTTTAAACAAAACAAATTTGTGCTGACATTGGTCCCATATATGATAAAGTTTGTGTTTAAAAAAATTTAAGCTTCTTTTTGTCTTGTATTCACATTGAAACCTGAAACAGTAAGAATTAACATGACATGTTGTGAGATTGCGACAGAAAACGTATGAAATTTCAAAGAAGTTTGTCCATATGTGTGGACATAGGTGTGCAAGGAGTTAAGGGTATTTCTAGAACCTGTTAAGATACGAATGAAATATTGCAGAACCATCATTAGGAATCCAAATGGAATACGACAGTAAAATATTATCAAAATCTGAGTACTCATACTTTTATCCTTCGACATACCCCTTCTTAATTGGATGACATGGCTCCAGCACCATATGCCCGATGACTTCACGTACCTCATTCGTTACACCTCTGACGAGGTGAGTGTGATCGAAATGACCTTACCTCTAAAAATGCTGGAACTCGTAGTTTTCGGAGTGGATGAGAGAGTGGCTTTCTCCAGGTGGACGCAAAAATGAATAAGCGAGATCCCTTCGTGTAAAAACAGGGAAACGTTTTATATGCTGCACTACGGTGTCGTAGGGAAAGTGCAGCACTTCGGAAGTCATTATCGTATGACGTCAAGGGTAGTGGCATCGCGTTTATCATTACTAAAAATTCCGTTCGGGCTCCAGGAACTCTTTTATTTGTGCCTAGGTGGTTGCATCGTATTTTATTTGAGGCGAACTTATGGATAATCTCTAATATTTCTGCGTTTCAAATCTCTATGAACAATTATTCATGGTAAAAAAAAAAACTGAAAAAGAAAAGAATTGGGTGAAGATTCCTTTCCTGAGACTGTTAGCAACTTTTCCCCCCCATGAAGTTGTTAGTTACTTTGGAAAAGTAAGTTACGAGTTCCCGATTCGTAAACACGGCGAGGGGATGTGCTGTAAGGCACACAATAGATCCCCTCGTGGGAATCTCATTCACTCGCTCGCATGGGAACGTGTGTCATTGTGTCGAGTCAAAGAAGGGTTACGCCCGGCATTCGTCTGAGCGGAAAATGGAAAATCCCTCTCTTGCAAAAAAAAGAGGATGCGGGAAACAAAGCAAAAAAAAGAAAAAAGAAACAGAAGATAGAGACGTAGCCAGTCAGCAAGGTGCGGGTGGGGATATTGCAATTTCCGTCATCCTGAGTAGATTTTACTCAAGAGGGGAGGGGTGGGAAGAAAATAACGTGTGTGGCTGCTGGCTCGCCACGACCAGTCGTGCATATCATTTTAGTGGGGGATAAAATGACCTTGAATGAAGAAGGATATATCGTACACCCTTGTGCCAGAAAACGGTCTTTGTTTTCTGCAATCTGGAGGATTATTCTCCTCCCCGTCATCCCAGGATTTTGTTACGGTTTCTGTAGCGGGGAGAAAGCGAGAAAATTCCTTCTTTGTCGTCATACTCGTACCCAAGTGTGAATCAGCGAAAAAATTGTTGTTTTGTGAAACGGGAGTTGTGTCCATGATAATGATAATGATGTTGAGATGAAATATGGTCCCGATATCCCTCCCCTATGATTTCTGAAGGAGGGGAAGGAAGAAAAGAAGACTTTTTGTCCAGACTTGGGGAGCACCTGTCCTCCCCTGCAGCATATTGGCTTAAATACGCAAACTCTCCCCTAAGATTTTTTTTTCCGCTTCTTTCCTGCCCTCACCTTCCGTCCGTCCTTTCTTTCCGTCTAATCCTGCGCTAGTTTGTCGACGACGTAAGTCAACAATGACATTGCGGCTCCGCGTCTCTCTTGTCTCGGAGAGACGCAATTTCGTATTCACTGTTTCTTGTCTCCTTTTTTCTTTTCCCTGAGGGCGTGGAGATTCGTTTTCTTCGGGGCTTCTCCCCGAAGCTGCCAGAGCATGGAGAGAGAGGGGGAAAGTGGGACCCGCAATTCAGACCCAATTTACCGTAATCTTTCTCCCGTGATTGATGTCTTCCCAGACCCAGGTTGGGGGAGTCTTTGTGACTCCTTGAAATCAATCTAGCAATGAAGATGTAGTCCTGCATAATTAAGTGTGCCTTTGTAAGAAAAAAAGTGCTTAAGTTAGTAAAGCAGAGGAAGTATGATAGAAAAAAATACTCAACAAGAGGAGAGACCATAACGTTTTGTTCGAGGGATATAAAGGACTGACGATAATCAAAGACGGAGAGTGAAAGTTCCTTGTTCCTCGACTGACTTCTTTCGTCGTGTGTGTTTGTTCGGCTCTCCGAGTCCCCTAATTAGAGGAGCGGATGAAGGCGCGCGTGATCCCCTGGCATTATCGTTATTCCTCTCCTTTATGATCCCCTCTTTGTGTACTGCATCGTTATAATGTCTCCCAGTCCCGGGCTCCTGCATTCATCATCATGGGGAACTGTCAGTCAGTCATTTCTCGCCGCCACGTCTTTATGGCCGAGGCCGGCCATAAAGCACCGTACTCTCGATAACAAGTGCCCAGGCCAGGGATACTTCTTTGCCAGTAAATGATGATAGACGGCGTTGAGAATCCTGGACTACTGGACCTACAGATGTCCTCGTCGTCTTTCTTCTTTCTTTCCTCTCTCTTTCTCTCTCTATCTGTGGGTTCCCCTTTGAGAGGGGACCCGTCATTCGTCTCGTTACGCCTGGTTTGCCATACCCCACAGGGGCACACCGACTCCAACGATATTCGTGTAATTGCCGATTCCTTCTCAGTCGTTGTCATTTAATGATAGCCTGGATCAAGGACTCGCAGCTCGTGTTCTCGTGTTGGACACGTGATTGACGGTCCTTGAAGGTTCCGAGGAACTTCATCCTTGAAATGGAACGAATGGCTGAACGCAGAGCTTCATGCTTGTAATACTTGGAAAAGTCGAACCACCTGAACCATAGAGAGGTTGCCTTCGCGGCAACTGAGATCAATCCGTCTCGTGTAAGGGGAAAGAAGAGGAAGATCCGGATGTTGATGGAAAGGAGAAAGAGAGGGAGAGAGAGCCTATCTGTCTCTCTCTCTCTCCCCCCGTTATATTGCGTGGAGCCTGGGCTAGGGTCTTCGAGAGTCCCTTCGGGAATCCCTGGAATGCCTGGCATCCCCCCACGACCCGGCTTAATTGGAATCCCGGATGGAGGGGGAATGGGGATGGTGAAGAGAGGGGGAGAAGGAAGGAGGAGGAAATAAGGGAGAAAAAGAGGAGACAGTCTTGACTCTCTATCAAGAGACAGAGACCTCCCCGAACAAAAGAGGAACTCCATTCTTCCTATTTATTCCACGAGATGAAAAAAAAAATTCCCTGTGTGTGTGTGTGTTGTGTTGCAGGAGCGCGGAAAGAATCACAGGTGTGTTCCACCCTTTAGATTCGGATACGATGGAGCACTGAACAAGTAGCGTTGAGGGCACTAGTAGATGCAAATGTACGCACGAGACGCGTGAAGCCGACCCTCTTCGGTTCCGAAGAAGGAAAAAAGCGTTCGTGCGTGAAGAATTGGCCTCTGACGTCATAGATGTTCACGGCCAGCCTTTTGTCCCCTTCTCCGATCTCCCCCCCCCCCCTTCTCGTCAGTCTTCACTGGACTATCAGACTTTTCTTTAGCCGCTATGCAAACGCCACTACTTCTTGGTCTTGCACGTGGATCTGTTTACATCCTCCTTAACTTACGAAACATATCATCTCGGAGCATAGCAAAGATGAGGTAGATTCTCGGTTTTTTGTAATTTAAGGTCAGGAGGGAGACGACAAATTTTCTCACAAGCACAAAGGCTCGGGCAGGAGAAAGAAGAGAAAGGTCACGTATGGGAACGGGAAAGAAATATGTGACGAGGAGGACGGGGATATCCAGGAAGCATTCATCCGGAGAGAAAGATGACAAGAATCCAGTAGCAATGCATAACTGGGAATCTTTGAGAAGGGGAACAGGTTCCTTCATGGCCATGGGAACTCCCTGACCTGTGATGAAGGATAATGAAGCTGGCCCTTTTTATTTTAATTGGAAATGATTCGGTGGGTGAGGGGATAGATCGGGGAACATTGTGAACCAGCCGGCGTTTTAATAATGCTGACCTGAAGCAATAAAGCTCTCTCGCTCTTCTTTTCATTCTGTGAACAGCCTTTGTGTCTGAAAAGGGGGCCTTTCCCCCTTGATCCTAAATGATTCTCCGCCATGTTTTATGTCCTTTCAACGACACGCGACTCTGCCCCATGCCCCATTACCATGACGAAGTCAGGCCCCCTTGAATACTAACTATTACGAGGGGAAGGCCTCGGAAAATGGACATCGAGACAATGTTTGACTAGAATACGTGACGGAGGGGTTGGGTGACGGAGGAGGTTCAGGAAAACTTGCTTGATCCTGCTTTACAGGGAATAGTAATTGATTGTTTCCTGGAATAATTATCTGCTTTCGCCTCCCCGAGGGATCCGACTGTGTACCACGAGCTATGAAGTAATTTTGATTTCTCGGTATTCCACAGGTGAGGGAAGACGCACTGGCTACCCATGTACCGTTAACAGCAGAGTTGAGTCATGGTTACAGCCACTTAGCTTCATAGTAACTTGTAACTTACCTCTGTGTAAGCTGATTAAATCACTGTCCGAATGAGTAGCAAATTCACGTAACTTCATTATGTTAATGATGTATAAAGGCGTACGCCCATACATGAGGGCATGTCCAATCGCGTCCTTTCGTATCATGAATGTCATCATGAAAAGTCTCAATCAGTGGAATACAAATAATCATAGGCTCAGTCAGCGCAAGTACACGAGGTCTTATTCTTGGCGGAAGATATGTTCTTCGGATATTAGACATTTCCAAGAATATCTTAATTTTCCTGCTTTTCAATCGTATCGCAACTTAACATATAGTTAGGCTCACTTCAAAGCATTTGTAGCAGTGCAGTTACAATCTCCATGAGGTAATTCCTCACTTAAGTGGCACATTTGCAAAGTAACCAAGTAAAATATCCAATGTATGAAACTAATCGAGGAGCTCCCTGGCGCTCTGTAAAACCAGGATTTGTACCCGCAAAGTGCTCGTGCAACAAAAAAAAAAGACTTTCGAGAAAGGGTCAAGGCCTGGTTTCCCAAGACAGGGGAAATTGTAATGTGCGTGAGGGGTCACTATTCATAAGAGCAAACTCATGCAATCTCGGCCTTCCAGGAAACCAATCTGCTCGTTACCATGATATTGCTGATGGACCCAACTAACGTGGGATTTTTCTATTTCTTTTTCCCTCGCAGGTCGGAATGAGTTGATAGCAAGATACATCAAGTTGCGGACGGGAAAGACAAGAACGAGGAAACAGGTCTCCAGTCATATTCAAGTGCTTGCCCGGAGGAAGCTCCGAGAGATACAAACCAAATTAAAGGTTTTTATTTTTTTCTACCTCTCGCGCTGATTTCAAACGAAAAGAAGGTATAAGATATTGTTGTGTCTTTGGAATAGCACACCCATCAACAAGATTCAAATGCGAAGGAGAAGGCGTTGCAAGCAATGAGCAGCATGAGCTCGGCTCAGATTGTGTCTGCTACTTTGATGAATAACAAAGCTGCCATGCCCACTTCTGCCTTGCCTGGTATCGGCCTTCCTCCTCATCCTACCTACTCATCGCCTGTGAGTCCTTTCGAACCTACTTCTCCCTTTCCTAAAAGAGCAGAATTTGTAAGGTGATAAATGAGGCAAGAAGATACAAAAGGCATTTAAAGGATTGCACGAGTTGAAAGTACTGGTTGCCTCGTGATTACCTTTGGCATTACCTAGATATCCTAATATGTATCTCAAGTGATAACAAAATTAAGTGTAGGACGTCACCTGCGGAATCGAGCGTTGTGATTGGTTCTCGGTGTGCTTCGTCTGCCCATCGCCAGATATGAAAGAGACCTTTAGCCTTCCAATTTACTCTTAGCCATATCTCATCCTGAAACGGAACCATCCAGCTGAATCACACTCGTAGTGGATTCTTCCCATCATGCGACAGCACTTACACCGTCGCGAAAGAGGACTGCCATTTGGGAAGATAGGAAAGCTTGGAGAACCTTGTTGAGAATTGAAGGAGAAAAACAGGAAAGCGTGGTCTCGAAGCATGTTTATATGCCATCCATATTGGATGCATTTGTTCCACCTCTCCTTTCGGTCATGGAAGCGTTTTCATGAAGCCACTGCTATTTTACAGTCCTAGAAGCGTTGCTCGTATCTATATAATATCAGTTCTGATTCTACCATTACCATCGAATGAGGATTAAGATTCGTATTTCGACAAGAGGGGAAAGAACCTTGTGCCTTCGCTTTCCATCAGGACAGATATTTGTGGGTGCATCCGCAATGTCAACCTGGAACCTGGAAATTCTTTATAGTCATTGCACGGGTTGATAATTTTTTTTCCACCATACAAACTTCCATGACGTCATTCATCCGTGAGAGTTGATTGCATTAAAACACTCTTTCCCCCCACTTAGCGGACTTTCTGAAATTTACGGCACCTGTAGCCTATTTTGGCATCTTAGTCACGTTTTATTGCTCCATATCTTATCTAACTGATTGTGGCGACCTAGGTAGCCGGCGCGCACTGTCTGATATTTCTCCATATAGCAGCACTGTTGGTGAGCATTGAAAAAACATGACGTCTAGATCATTGAAGGAATTAGCTATCTTATAAGTTCAGGAGGTATCGATTTAATGACTAATTTTTTTTTCATCTGCGTTAAATCATTTTCCTCCTAGTGAAGGCGTTGTATTGGATGCCTTAGTATGAGTGAATGCTTCTACATCCTTTTACCGTTTTTCTACGCGCTTGTAGGCATTGCATATTCTGGACCTCCCTGGCATTAAAGCATAATAACCTATGGATGGAAGAAAAACATAATCATGAGAGGTGATCGGTGATGCATGAACAACCGCTCCAGGTTTGCATAAAGGTCTTTGTGAGTGACTGTAAAGCGGGACCTGAACAGCCTTCCATTCCTTTTTCAATGAATAATAGATGGAGCGAGGAAGAGAGCGTTAGACATCATATGATGGCATTTGCGGTAATTAGAAGCCGAGCGTGATGGGGGTCATTGGATGATGAGAGTTGTGGACCTTGTTTGCTCATGTAATGCCATCAATCATATTATCCAGCCCGGTCCTGCATGAAGTACTCTCACTGAGCATCACTTCCCTCTCTCTTTAATATTCTCTACACTCATCAAGGAAGAAAAAAAAAGTGCTTCACGAGCACCCATGGGACATCGTTTCGTGATGGGGCGTTCCCCTACCTCATAATTATAGGGGCACTGGCTTGGCAATTTTTGGCAATTATATTCATGAGACGCGTATTCAGGGGATATTTGGCATCACATCTTTCCCTGTTTGCTCTCGGACGGCGAAAACTGGGCATCATTAACCTCAGTTTCTCTCTCTTCTTCCTCCTGGAGCTCGTAATTAATGTCCTGATCATTAGAGGGAAGAATTACTACATCTTTATCCTGACATTAATGTTCCCACTTTTCTTCCTTTGCAGTTCTGGCAGACTGGTCTGCAGTCAGCAGCTCAAGAGTAAGTACCTGCTTTTTGCTCTTGGAACTTACCATCCTCACATATGAGGCTTCTGTAGAGTGAATCATAATGAAACCAAGCATGGCATTTCAATAATTTATTCACAGGAATAGAGCACTAGACTTCATGGAGGAGCCAGACATTTGAGTACTAACATTCTTTGGCAATGTCAAAATTCGCTCTTGTCTCCACAAATATCACAGAAATTGGGAAACCAATGAATGGAGTAGAGTCATGAAACAATGGTATTCATGAAAACATGTCAATGTGAATTCAGAATGATACTTGGCGTTTAGGATCTGGGAATAAATTCATGTTTCATCAAGACAGTACAGGGTGAGCCATAAATATTCACACCAAATCAAAGTCTTGTGTTTCCTGTACTAATAATTTCTCATGAACCAACTACATCTCAAATTAGATATCAAGACTCACAGTAACTATTTGCACCATATCTTCAATGAGTCCCCCTTCTTCTTGTCAGCAACCCAGATTCTTAGATTCTGCTATTCTATTAAACTGGACAGACATGGTTCCAATACTCTTTCAGCACAAGCCTTAATTGAGGTCATGTGATTTCATATTTTGACACTTACTTCCAGTAGACTCCAAATACAGTAATCTATTGGATTCCAGTCAGAGTTTTAAGGGGGGCATTAGTATTTCTTGATAATTTCTGCAACATGGTTTGCTAGACAAGTTTTTGAGAATCAAGATGTGAAAGGAGGCCTCTTGAAGCACCCAAGATATGGTGACATGAAGATATCCAACATATTGCTCTTAGCATTTTCTGGGCATGCATAAATATAAAAGTTACTTGTGGTATGAATATTTATGGCCCACCCTGTATGCCAACCAGAAGGTATTGTGCAACTATTACATCCTTGCATCAGAACACACTAGAACTTTACAGCCCTAGAAAATTGAGATCTATTGAGACAGGGATCTCTTCTACTATATACAAATTTGGCAATAAAATGCAATGCTGACCAGACTCTTTTACCCAAGAACAAGCAAAACTTGGTTGAAACATTATTCTTCTATTCTCTTCCAGCATTTGGCTTAATCCTTTTAGGGAATATGGAGGGACACATTCATTTTGAGTTAAGGTGATTGGTGGGTAGAACTGGTTGCTTTCATTCAATGTTTTGAAAGCAACAATGTTTATAGATGCAGTGTTGGGTAGGAGCATGTAGCAGACAATTCAGCTACTTCTGTCAAATAGCTCTCTTAACATTTATATGCTTGTTAGCATCATCATAACATGGGAAAAAACCTCAAACCAACTACTTGCAGATTTTTTCCAATCCTTGCATCATCTCAAAAATTTCAATCAAAATTAAGCATGATGAAACATGGGAATCAAATGATCCGTTGGAGTTGATGACAAAACATGTGTGCTGCGCATGACCAGTCAAGCATATCTCTCCTCTCTTTCCTTTTCACTTTCTTGCTTCCTTTGAAAAATTATTGGGAACCTGCCAGTCTTTTGTGTGCCAATTTTTCTTTCTCTTTCTTCGGATTGCAATGGGAAAAGGACGGTCAATCTATGTTCCATTATCAAGTTGAAGAAAAAAATGATTCCCAACTTCCAAGGTCCTGTCTGCAAATGAAAGCAGTTGTACAACTGCCAAAAGGAGGAACCGAATTGAAAATCCTTTCATTTCCTGCAGGATTGTGCTGATGTTTATTCATTTCCGCCTGGTGATTCCCTCATTTCACACACATCCATTGTCCATATAGACACCCTCACTCCTAGACCCACACCATCACTTGGAGGCACTTCCTCAATGAGATTGTTCCTGTATGTACATACTGATGAAATGTTGGAATATGTGATTTGCTGGCAATTTGTGAGTGGCATGCATGCATGCAGGGCATGTATGTCTTAAAATCCAACCATAGTTTTTCACTGCACTGCTCATATTCTAAGAAATATTGCAAGAAATAAAAGTATTTATCATAACTTACATCATGAATTGGTACTTAAGATTCATTGAATGATGAAAAGTTGCATACATGTGTATCAAGTTCAGTTGAATTTTCAGAATGATGAAAAGGATGTTCCTCATTCCTTTTGTTTCAGCATCAAGCCACTGGCACAGTCACCATACATGAGCAAGCCATCTACAGTGGTAACTTCATCAGCTGAGATGGGTTTGCTAACCTCAGCTGGAGCCCAACCACCTGCCCAGCCACCCTGGGAAGGAAGGGCCATTGCCACTCCTAGACTTCGATTAGTTGAATTTGCTGCCTTCCTTGAAACCCATCGAGAACCTGATACAGTAAGTATCTCCTTGGTAACATCCTTGGCATGCCTTCAAAGAGGCACATATAATGTGCTTGCTATGACCATGCAGACAGAAAGACAAGAAGCTTGAAAAAAGATGTGAGAAACTGGTTTGTTGTGATGATTGATGAGTATCATTCTGAACTGGTACTTGATTGAACTGGTACTAAATTGAAGATTTTCATGTTTGGATTGATGGCTAAATCTGGTGACTTCACTAACTTGTGGCCTTTTTCTCCTCCCTTGTTTAGTACCACAAGCACCTCTTTGTGCACCTTGGTGGTCCCACCACATATTCTGATCCTCTACTTGAGGTAAGTTTCTTGATATCTGGAAGGGAGACATTTTTAAACCATGCTATCTATTGTTTATAAATGAAAAACATAAAAAATTATTTTCTTTGTTTTACAGTCAGTAGATATTAGGCAGATCTATGACAAGTTCCCGGAGAAGAAGGGCGGCTTGAAGGAGCTCTATGACAAGGGCCCACAAAATGCCTTCTTCCTGGTGAAATTCTGGGGAGATCTCAACTACACACTCCAGGATGAAGCCAGTGCTTTCTACGGAGTCACTAGCATGTAAGCTATCACTTTTGGTTGATGTGCATTGTGGAAAGTTGCTTGATGACTGATCTCCATCTCCCCTTTGTTGCAGTTATGAAAGTCCGGAGAACATGACTGTCACGGTGTCAACAAAGGTGTGTTCCTTTGGGAAGCAAGTGGTTGAGAAGGTAGAAACAGAATATGCCCGCTTCGAAGGTGGTCGCTTCGTCTTCCGGCTCCACCGCTCACCTATGTGCGACTACATGATCAATTTCATCCTTAAGCTCAAGCACCTGCCTGAGAAGTACATGATGAACTCTGTCCTCGAGAATTTCACTATCCTCCAGGTATCCACCCTTGATCCTTTTTTTTTGCCTCTCCATCTCATGATCTGAGATTATTCAGAGAGTATTGAACTCTGAACAGGTTGTGACAAATCGGGACACACAGGAGACTTTGCTGTGCATAGCATATGTGTTTGAAGTGTCAACTTCAGAACATGGTGCCCAGCATCATATCTACAGATTGGTGAAAGAGCCATCACTATGAAGGAGAATGTCCGTGACAGAGAGCCTTCTTGTGTGCCTCAAGCCCCCTCCTCCCTCCTGGCTCCCAGACTCTCCAATCATCACAGCTTGTTATACAAAATACACACATATGAACACTCATGCACTCTGAGTGATCTTACCACAGCGGTTGTGTCACATGCCGAAAGAAAAGAAAACAGAATAGGAGAAAGAAAAACATAGACAGTCCCATCCTGTGGTACTTAAGTTTTAACCAAAAGAGTTTATTATTTTAGATCTCTAGAGGAATGTGATAACTCTCTTGGAAGCCTATTCAGCAGCCATAATCATGTCTCATGCAGACAATTCCTCTTTCTCTGCCTCCCTCTCCCTTCCTCATCAGAGTCCACCTTGATGAGATTTAGTCCAATACATTATCCTTTGTCTTTTTTGTTTGTTGTTGAAGTGTTGTTAGTCACCTGGAACAGAGCTACAGCTACGGTACCTAAGCTAGGATTCTTCCTCTTCTTTTTTTTTTTTAAATTCTTCATGGCAGCTCGGTTGAGGCCAGGCGAGCTTCTCTGCTCTTTTTCCTGTTTCTCCAGTCCTTTTTCAGATTTTGTCAGGTGAATGCTGTTTTCCAAAATAGTCAGGTGAGCAAAAGTAAAGTGCTTTCACCAAATGGCTTGTTCCAATTGCCTGGTGCAGTTGGTATTTCTTTCAAGATTTTCTCCTGCCCGTAGACTGATATTATGTGTACTGTGAAGTGATCTTTTTGGGAATATTCATCCATGTTCATTCAGGTCCATTTGATATCCTTGGGATGAGAGGAGAAGTAAACGTGAACAAAGGGGGGGAAAAAAAGTCCTGTGCCATTTTGCCACTTTATCTCGATTCTGCCAAAATTCTCCCAAGTGCCTTTGGGTTTTCCTCCAGGTCCACGTCCACTTGACGATATCTACCGTGTGTGACGAGAGTAATTGTAAAAGTACATGTGCATTGTTTTGTATCTCCCCCTAAGTACAACTATTTTTACAAAAAAAAGGTGTGAGGGCATCTGATCATGAAGAGAAAAATTTTCAAATCAAATTGTTGGACAAGTGTGTGTTCCATCTTCGTCTATCTCTTTCCTGTTTCAGTGCTTTTTTAGGGATTATTTGGGAATTCAACAAGCGACTGCTTTTTTTCCTCAATTCGTCAAAGTCACATTTTCGTTGTTGCAGGCACAAAAGAAGTTTTTTTTTTTTCCTAGAATGTTGTATTGTGATCTCAATGGCATGACTGGTGAGACATGTATAGGAGGCATAGACCTGATCTCTTCTTGCTACGTGAACCAAATGTGAATACAGAGCGCCATTCATTTCCCTCCCTCCCTCCTTCTTCCCCTCTCCCTCCTTTGGGTTAAATTTGGAGAGCAAAATTTCACAGGCATCTTCTGAGTGAAAAGCACAACGGAAGCATGGTTTAGCCTGTCTGCTTGGGCATCTCCCTTCATGCTTTGTAGTATTTATATGTATAGAGGGAACCGAACGCATCTATGACTCCACAGATATGGAATGACATGGAAATCTTATTTCCTTTTTTTTGGAACCATCTTTATTTTAGGTTTTTGTATGTAACAGAGTTATTTGAAATAAAAATTGTTCTCTCTCTGGAAACCCATCTATAATTTGGGTATTTTCGTTGAACTTGCCAGTAAAAAAAAATTTCCGGAGTCATTACCAGAACTGAAGGACGCCACCCCCTGAGAAATTAAATTCACGGCGACATTAAGAGAGCTGCAGTCTGCAATGTCTGGCACCGATTGGGAGCAGTTGTGGAGTTTGGTGGGGACCATATTGAGCATTTCTCACCATGAACACATGACATCACACCAGCAGTGCCCCCTGTGAAGCATGCTTTTCGTCTTCACGTAACGTTCTCCCTGTGGTACACCAATACGATGCCCAAACTCACCGAGCTGTGGAGCATCATTTTGTTCTATAATATCGTATATCCGCCAACCGACTTTATCATCACCTAGGATTTCTCAATGTGTATAAAAGGTTAGGTTTATGCCCTTCGAAAACCAACCCCGTTAGGACAATCAAGATGCTGGGAGCGATGTTAACAGCTACAGAGACCTGTACACTTACAGAGGTAAGCATTTGAAGCCAATCAAGGACCATTGGCCAGTGCGAGTCCAAACTATAGCAACAAGACGAATAAGATTTTAAGGAAGCGAGCGATATCTAGGGAGGTTTATCGGGCTGCCAAGCCGTTGGGTCATCGTCAGGGGCGTGACCCTACCAAAGAACTAGCTGTGCAGCAAGAACCTTTTCGACATCTCCACCATGGGACATAATTTCATAAGCTACAAGGGAGGGGCAGGAGGCTCGGAGGAACGCGAAGGGGGTTGGATAGGGTTTGCGCCCCTGGCTTCCCCGAAACAACTGACGTCCCTCATCTCTACAAGAATTTTTCACTACAGAATAGAATCTGCCTCAACAGCAGCACGAGAAAGCTACTACAGCATGAGTCCGTCACACATCCACCACTGCTAAACATTTCATTACTTAAGCAAAGTTCACACCTGTTTCCCGGAGGCACCAAGAACCCGTACTCATACCACATCCCAAAGTCGCCCTGAGGTTTCCAGAGGCCTCTTTGAGGCCCTTTGGAGGTCCACTTGGGGCCTCTTGATACGCGAGGCCCGAGACAGATGTCCCTGATGCCCCCCCCCCCCCCCCCCCTCTGGGCGACTCTGCTATTGGGTTGGAAAGAAAGTCTTGCAACACTCTGCGCAAATTTGTCAAAATTTTATAAATTTCTTGAAATGCAATTTCAGTCTGCAATGTAATGACCATTGTTGTCTATGACATGTTCCCAACGCACGGGTAACTGCTCGATGCCCTTTGCCCAGAACTCTGGCGATTGCGAAGCGAAGAAACGGCCGACATCATTTTGAGCCGTGCTCGATCGTCGAAGGCCTCGTCCCGCAGGTGATTCTTGAGGGCCCGGAACAAGTGATAGTCGGAAGGGGGCAAGTCCGGAGAATACGCTGGATGGGGTAAAACTTCCCAACCCAGTTCTGAAATTGTCTGGCGAGTCATCTTCGCAACATGTGGACGAGCGTTGTCACGCAGAAGGAGAACTTTGTCGCGTTTGGGACGCTCTTTNTTGCAGAGTCTAGGTGTTTATGGAATGAACATAATCATGATACTCTACACGTGTGCACAGCACTTGCCACACCCTGCCTTCTCTCACACGCCACAGTCGTCGTGCGTCTTGTTCCCCTCACCATCATTCCTTTGAAAATTTTAATAGTTTTAGGAAGTGTTGCAAGACTTTCTTTCCAACCCAATACATCCTTAGGCACTCAATGAGAAGGTGAGATCTGTAAAGAGAAACGCTTATACACTGGAATATGAACTATTAATGTTTATGTTGCAATTCAAGCATACGCATTCATCTTATAGATGTGCAAGATTCTCTGCTACATCTCTAGATGCGCAAGATTGCATAGAAGAGGACGTGACCCATGGATGTTAGAGCTTTATTCTGGGAATGAAGATAAAATTTTATATCCACCTAAAATATCTATTCAAGATCGGCAAGTAGTGGGTTTTGCTGAATAACATGGAATTCTATTTGAGCCAAGTGTACCCATTGCTCCTCAATATATTTTATGGAGATCACTGTTGAATAAAATCCTATCTCAAATCTCAGATCTACAAAAATCTGTTTACCTGCGATTTTATGATGTTCTTTATTATGTGAGAGCGGATGTTTGAGCGGAACATTTGGAAGAAATCCTTATGTAGCTCTCAGCATCCCGGTCGATGGTTTGATGAGAGAACTAATTATTCAATTTATGTTTTCATATGTAATTTTTAATTTTAAAATAATTTTTTAAAGTATATTTTCATTTGTCATGCAGCATATTTAAGGATTCAGGTAAAAGTAAAAGCTTGGAAGGACTCTGCTTTAAGTAATGTTTGCAGGCAGGGTTGCCCAGCTACTCAGAAAAAAATGCGCAGTAGATGCGAATGAGTAATGAGTAGTATGAGTGTCCTTCCAGGACAACCTTGCCATGCCAGGCAACCACAAATACCGAGCCATAATCTAGCGCATCATTGTTGAACGAGCCAATGCAGATCGATTGTTAAAGCGAGTCCATAGCATTGCAACAAGTGAGAGAAGAGGTTAGAGTAGGAAAAAAAAAGACAGCTAACGGGCCTTGTGATAGGGTTACCATCCGTCCAGTTTTTTTTTTCCGGAAATGCCCTCTTAAGCTTTCCGTCCGGGAAGAAGGCGTCCCTATGGGTTACTATACGTCCGGATATTTTCCCGCCTCTTTCGCCTTCAAATTTCCGTCCGACTTCTGTGCGCCCTCTTTTTGGCTGTCCGAAATACGGTAACCCTACCTTGTGGAAACAAGCAATGTCGCAATTTCATCATGGACTGGATCCAACCAACAACTTGTCCTTCACACAGTCACCACCAAAACACGGTCCCTAAACAGCACAAGGTTCACATCTATGCTGACAATGTAGCCAGTGCTCGGTGTTGTGTGGAAGTGGACATTTCGGTAATCGATGATCTACTTCCCACCAAACACAAGTTACTTCCGGAGTGGAAATTGTGCCCCAAAGGACTTTACTATTGATACTTCGTATAGGCACACGATAAACGGACGAGCGACAAAGAAAATGGCCGATTCACTGAGGTCAAACACTGGCTAGTTTGCTTCTAGTTGTGCGCAATTTTGTTTCTAATGCAATTAGAACTTTCATCTGTTACTGACTTTATACTAGGCAGACAAAACTGCTCGAGCCTTCGTAAAGAAAATTAATACGCTGAATTTTACAACTCGGCTTATCGGACACGTCCTAACCGTAATGCCTTGAGACACGAAAAAGCGGAGGAAGGCTGTGCACGAGAACTTCGCTTTTATCATCGACAGGGCATGCAGCTTTCGGTCGACCTTTCTCTCGATATAAAGGGCGATTATAAAGCATAAAGATGATAAAGTAAGTATTCCCCTTCAGAGCGCTATTGCACTTAAACTATGAGGTGTAGATGTAGGATGGTGCCATGGCACAAGCATTGTAAGTGACACGTTGAGAATCCATTCCAGCACTTCTAAAGTCTTGGCTGGGAAAGCCTGGCTTACAAGAAGAAAATTATTATTATTATTATTTATTAATTCTTTATTTCTCTATTATTCATCGAAGGGGTACAAATGTTCAAGTTCTCTTCCTCGTGGAATTGCTTTATCGAAAAAGAATCACGTGCCACACAACAATCTTCTGGATGTTTTTCCAGAAAATTTGCCTGCGTTTTTGTGACGAACTTTTTTTTATTTATTACTGCGGTGACGGGTAAAGCAAATCTTACTCGTCAAATTAAGATTAACTGGTTCGATCTGAACCAATTCTGCTGATAAAACTCTACTCATGTTCCAGTGATAATCCAACCAGGCTGCATTTTTTTTTAGGTCTGAGAATAAAAGGGACCCAAGGGCTATGAGACTCGCAAATAATGCATATCCACAGTTGACCTAATAAAGG